ATTATACGCCTGGAAATCACAGGTTTTTTTTTTTCTCCTTTCCCATTTTCCATCGACTTTCGTCGAAAACTTTTTACGAGCTTCCTCATAGCCGCCTTCCTGGTCTTCACGAGCCGTTTTACAGGGTCTTTATTTTTTATTTTTCATTTTTTTATTTTTTTATTTAAATATTTCCCCCGCCATTCAAGCGTGACAGCGTGACAGAAGTGAAGAGCGGAAAAAAGGTGGATTTTCGCTCGTAACGGAACCGGCTGGCCCCCGGGGGCGCGTCCGGCACAGAAGCTGGCACAAACAAGGAGCCCGCAGGGTTGCCCGATCCTTTTCCCGATCGGCGCGATAATTCATCGTTATTTATGGATTTCGCAACGCCCCGACTCATCGTCATCTCCGCAAAGTTCGTTATTTTTTTCCGTTTGAAATATGGGATTTTTATCTCGGGGATGTGCTGGGTCACCCGACATGAATTATGCGCATAGAAATTGGCTTCTCAGCCGGTCCCGCCATTGGCTCGTATGCACGTTCCGCCATCGGCTCATAAGCAAGTCTCGCGAGGGAATTCGCAAGAAAATTTATCATGCCGGCTCGATCCCTGTTGCCGTGCTCTATCGGCTTGTGGAGAAGCCGCCGTTGGAAAAGGCCAATTGAGACGCCAATTGAGCTGTCGCATGGATCTCTCGGGTCGCTTCTTTTGCTCGGCGACGAAAGTTCTTCCGGGTTCTTTGTTCATCAACGTCATTTCGCAATATACAGGGCTAAGAATCGTCATCTGATGCATCGTATACTCACTGATGCATAGTATCGCATAGCGAAAAAAGTGGAAGAAATTGCCTGCCTCGAGGCCGTCTGGAATTTTACAACGCCATTTTTTGCTTCCGATCAGCACTGCTTAGAGTCACGGAAGAAATAGTGAAAGAAATAAAATTGGCGATGGACAAAAGAAGAGAAAGAAATGGTTGGGATCCCTCCCCAAGGCTGTCTGCCCTATAACACGACGGAGGGGCACCTTGAACAACAGCCTTGGGGCGTTCCAATTTTTTTATTTTCTCTCCTTCGGCTCTACTATTTTTTTTTAATTCCCATCCACAAAGGAAATTAGAGGCAGAGTCAACATTGCGGGGAACGGTAGGTTCCCGTCGCGAAACCGTTAACCTATCATTTATGCGGGCTTTCCCTTTCTGACCTTCGGGAATGTCGAGGGAAGGGGAAAGAAAAAGAGAGAAAAGAAAGTGGCATCAGCTGCTGGGCGTCCATCACTTGAAATGTCCTTGTCTTCTTCAGCCAATTGACCAATTTCTCACCGGGAATGGTTGGAACGGGGGAGGAACTGTGGTACCGCACGGAAACCTTTGAACTATATATTTACTTCACGCGGTATGTACCACGGCATATTATTCTTGACATTTTTCATGGTTACCAAATTTTTTAATGTATACAATTGTATCGGAATAACTGGTATAATGTGCGTGGAAGCTCTCTGAATATTGCAGCGTGACTTGCGTGTATTTTCGAACGACTTCCTCTCGCCGGTACTTGCGCTTACACGCGCCTAAATTGCGGCAGATGTTCCAGGCAGCTGGCTGCCTGGAAACTGCCATCATCCGCATAATACCCCTTTCCCCGCGCGATGACGCACCATCTTTCTTTCGTATCCGCCCGACGAGATTTATTATGGTGGACGATGGTGCGCGTTTTTCTTGTAGCAGCAGCAACAACAGCAGCAGCAGCAGGAGTCGCAGGGAGCCGACGGGCTGATGCTGTACGCTGGGGGAGAGGAGTCCCGGGCGGAGGAGGACCCCGGCCCCGGATTCCGGGGGGAACGGTTCCCCAACTCCATCTGGCAGAGGGGACCCGGCTCCGAGTCGGGGTTCCCCCACGCGGACCTCGAGTATAACGGAAACTTCGGGGTTCCGCACCCTATCCAGCCGCTTCATCCCAGTCCAGGCCATGGAGAGCAGCAGCAACAGCAGCATCAACAACAACAACAACAGCAACAGCAACAGCAACAGCAGCAACAATTCCAGGTGAGGATGAGACCTGGGAAGTAATCTTGTTTTTAATTTTATGGCTTCGCAGAAAACGTTAGGCTTTTTAAATATAAATAATATACTGGTAAACCATAATCGTTTATTAATTACATAATGGGATAATTTTAACTCTTCGTAATAATTTTTTAAAAGCCATTGGTGCACCCTACAGTAATTAATTTCCCCGGTTTTTCCCGACGACAGAGCTACGAGCTGCACCACCACGATTCCCCGTCCTTCCAGAACGGAAACGAGGGGGGCGGCGGGGGTCAACAGGGGGGAGCGCCCCCGACCCCGCCGTACCCGAGCCCGGGTCATCGTCCTCCGTCTTCGAGCCCTGCCGTGGTGGTCCCGAACGGGACGCCGCTCTACGGGTTGAGCAGCCCGAACGGGACGGTCCACCCTAGTCAGATCTCGCCTCACCACGGGACGCTCTACGACCGCGGGAAAAACCCGCGGGTCGAGCCGGCCTTCAAATCCCCGGCCGGTCACCCAAACGTGAACCCTGGGTACCACATCACCACCCTTCCCCACCCCCCCCCCCCCCCCCCCCCCCTCCTTCCCCCCCGGAGCAGACATGGAAAGATTGCGTTTCTTCGTGAAGACATTTTTCACAAAAGTCTCGTAACCGCGAACGCGTGATCGTTTTCCCGCTCCCTGCGACAAAAATCTCTGCTCGGAAAACCGACGTCGCTCACGCGAGACGAGAAATATTGTCCCTTTCTCTTCCTTGAGAAAAAAAAACTCGAGCACGTACATGCTTTAGCAACGCACGCATCTGCTTATCGCTGAGAATCTGTAAAGGAAACGAAATCTCGGACGCTTAACTCGTTCGATGATGATTATGACGCGAGGCGAAGGGGTGCCACGCACGACCGCAACGAAAGTGCGCGGGAGACGAAGGAAAAACGACCGTACCGATCGACGAAGAGGGATCGAGGGCCTCGCGATCGACGAAGAGGGATCGAGGGCCTCGCGATCGACGAAAGAGGGATGGAAGGCCTCGCGACCACAACGGAGCTCGGGCGCGGGATGAGGCCGAGGAGAGACTGAGGCGAGACTGAGGAGATCTCGCTGTCTCCCTCCGACCTCCCTTCCTCCGTCCTCCGTTCCTCCCGCTTTTGGAGGACGGAGGAAAAGAGTACCGAAGCAGAAAAACGGGGTGGCTTTTCGTGCGCTCGCCGGCCGTCGGAGGCGTTATCTTCGCCGGCGTCGTCATCATCATCATCATTTCCCATGAACGCGTCTTATATTTTTTTCCTCTTTCCTGGGAACCTCGGGGTCGATCACCCGAGGAATCTCTCATACGACGGCTCAAATTTCTTTTTTTTTTTTGCATCGGTGCGCTCGTAATGGCGATTACCGAAGAGACGTCACGAAGGCTACCGCGAACACGAACGTCGAAAGTGCAAGTAAAGACTTGCATCTGAGGTAACGCGTCACGTGGGCGAGGGCCGGGTCCGACCGCGACGCATCGCATGCAAATCCCGCGCAATCGGCATGCAGGCGGAGTCCGCCCGGTTACTGTGGTTTTACGAGTCGCAGGAAATCCGATTGTCTCGCGATGGCTACGGAATTCCAGGGATCTCTTGGGGAAATCCCGCGGAAAAAAAGGGGAGGAAAAAAGGGAGGAAAATCGTTTGTCATCTTATATTTCCTTTCTACGCACGCGTTTCATGAATATTCCTCTCGGGTACACGCTTCGCAGATTTATGCGTGAATACCCTCTCAAAGTGGCACATTTTGGAAAGGATTCCGCCCCCCTCCCCCCTCCCCCCGCCCCCCTCTTACAGACCCAAAAATTAAGGAGTCTCGCTGCATAAAAAATGTTCGTGAAAAAAAATCGTCCTTGGACATCTGACCCGCGGAGATTCTTCATCCTTGTGGGAAAATTCCGAGCGTTCACTTAACGGTTCCCTTCACACGTGCAAAAAAAAAAAAAAAACTTTTTTTGTGACACGAGGGGGTCACGAGGTCGAGGATTCGGGCTGGGATTATCGCTAAGAAGATTAGCTCCTTCGGGGGGAGAAAAGTTGGCAAGTTTGTTAAATCTCCCGCGTTACCGCAGGGTCCCGTTGGAAACGGGCAATCGAGTTCGGGCAATTGAGTTCGTCGGCGGGCAATTGAGTTCATCGGGACCTCTCGGTTCGAGCATCCGCCGCCGGTCTAACCGTCGGTCTAACCGTCGGTTAAATGAGCCGTACAGCGCCCGATCCGTCAACGTCAATTCTCGGAAGTCGGTGCCGATTTCTAAAGACTTTCCTGGAGTTTCTGCATGAAAACATTTGCAAAACACAGGAAGCGGCAATTTTATTATTAGAATAAATGACATTTAAAATAACCTATTAAAAATAACATTTTTTGCCTCAATTTTTTTTCCTGAGCGAGAAGCGAAAAGATGCAGATGGACATTTCGTAAGATTTCGGTTATATTGATTTTTATTTGTAAATCTTGAGTGAGGTGATTGGCACCAGCAATCAAATCCAGTCTCTAATGATTCTATGAGCCATTCTGAGCGATGCTGAGTGATTCTAATGATTCTGAGCGATTCTAATGATTCTAATGATTCTGAGCGATTCTGAGTGATTCTAAGCTTATGGAATATTACAATGAAATTCCCTTGCCTTGGAAAATAGATCGTGGGAAGCGAAAAAAAAAACTTTCAACGGGGAAAAAAAAGCCAATTATCCGTGGAAATGCCAAAGAGTAATGCCAAAGTAAATTTGCGAAAGACAAAATTTTGCCAAAATTGATTCCTCGAAAATTTCCTCCGTTGCTTTCGAGCCCGTAAATTTCTTTCGTTCGAGCGTGGCTCGTTGGAGATTTTTCAGACGGGATGAGAAGCGTCATCCGGAAGACAAAGGGATAATAAGAATGAGATTTCTCAGGGAAGCCGGCACGGAAGCCGGCCTGGAAGCTGGCACGACCGCCATCCGCACGACATCATTGCGCAATTTAACACGCTTCCGCGAGTGCGACGAGAAATCGCTCTCGGTAACGGCTTCTTTTATTGCTCCTTTTTTATTTTAAATTTATTTTATTCATTTTTTTTCCGTCTGGAAGATTTCTCGAAGGCCGCCTTCGAAGGCCGCCCGGCTTCTTAACGCGGGATCTCTCGCATATTCATGAAACCAGGATGATCTGCATCGCTTAATTAATCAGCGGCTCCTCCCGGAGTCCTTGAGAATGTTCCTCACAAAACTTTCCAAGAAATTTTATTGAAATATACGATGCTATTTTGATCGCACGTGCGGCTTATATGTCTCGTATGGCTTATATGTCTTACGCGGCTTATATGGCTCACGTGGCTTGTCCTCGTGTGGCTTACGTGCCTCTCCGAAAAAAAAGCATAAGTTGCTTCCTGTGCGCAATTTTTCCCTTTCAGAGGAGAAAGGGTTAAAAAATTATGATTGGTCCGACTATTCATTTCCGTATTACGTAAGCGCAGTCACTCGATGCAGGTGTAAACTTTAAGCAAATAAACGTGAGAAAAAACGTCATTAGTTTTTTTTTTACTCTGTGCCATCGTCCGCATGATTCAACTTTTAATCAGGAACTAGGCTGAAAATGCAAATGATTCGGCGAAAAATGCAAAAAAAGGGGAAATGAGTTGAAACATATGTCACGTTGAGTAACTCCCGTCGAGCTTAATACGGTCCCTTTGCGGCAGCCGCCAGTTGAGGTCGGTTGCGTCAACGCCAGACATCCTCATCTTCGTTATATCTAATTTACTCTGCCATCGTCCAGCTTTGCCCATCGCTGGCCAGCTCTGCCGAGCTCACGTTTCCTTTTCCTTTTAGAGTGCGTCATCTGTCTCTTCCGTACGATTTCCGAACTTCCCGTGTGTCTGCTTTCACTTTTCATGAACGGTGCCCTGGATGACGAGGGGAGAGAAAGAAAGAAAGGAAAGAGCAAAAAAAAAAGAAAAAGCTGCTATTACAGAGAGAACAGAGTCGAGCCAACGGTTTCTCCCCGACGGTCTTTCTGTTTCGGCCTTCCCAGACGGAAATGCACGCACCGATTTCGCGGGGAGGAAATATTCGCGAACGAGGACTTTCGACTCCAGGAACCAGAAGTCTCATTCGCGAACGCGTCGTATTTTAATAACTTGACGGCGAGATGAGTCTGAGACGTCCGTGTCCCTCGCGACGGGCCGCGAGGACCTTAGCGCGAAATTTAAAACCACCTTCAAATCGGGTGTGGGGCGGTGAATGCAATGTGGGACACACACAGTCAGCTGTTGTGTCTGACCTTTTCCCCGCGTGGATTCGCATTCACTGAGACCCCGGCCAGGTGCATGCCATAGCCCCTGCATATCCCCCATAACGGTCTTTTCCTTTCTTCCGTCCTTTCTTTTTTCTGCCGGATTTCAGTTCATCGAACAAAAAAAAAGGTAACGCTTTCGCGCCTTGGAGAATCCTTGCGCCATGAGGCTTTCCCCCCCCCCCTTCCAATGCTCTTATTACGCAATTATAGGATGCGATGTCATTTCGATCCTTGAGAGGTCGCCTTGACCTGATACCAGCTTGTTTATTCGGCGACACACTCGGCGACAGAAACCGCGAAGAAAATCGGCGACGCCCTCGGTGACGGACTCGGTGACACAGAGGGTTTCTCCCTTCTCTCGTGTCCTTGACTCTTTCCCTCATTCGTCTTGTTTCCATCCCTTTCTCCCCCCTCCCCCGCAGAAGATGAGAAATGCCGAAAAAGCGAGAGCATGCATTTTTCATGGCCCTAATGAACCCGAAGGTAAAAAGAAAAAAGAAAATAAATGTGTGCCTGGAAGGCGAGTCGTATATCGATTATGGGAGAATTCCTCGAGATTACACAGGACGACAGATGAATCATTTTCTTCCTCGCTTTCTCGCGTGTTCATCATGCAATTACGGGGATTAATGATTTTTTTCTCTTCTTTCTGGGTCAGTCAATTAAAGGCGGAGGGGGAAGAGAGAGAGAGAGAGAAAGAAAAAACATCTGAAAAATGATGGTTTCGGCGAAATTGTGAAATTTCCTGGGAAACGGCCCGAAATGAAGCCCGGGTCAGGCCGAGGGGATCCAGCGGAGGAAGTCTTTACTCTGCATACAGAGAAACAGGGCATTTGGGGGATGACGTCACTTGTTTTTCACTCCCCAGACTCCCTCCCCTCCCCTCCCCCCTCGGCCCATATGGCTCCGCTCTATCGGAGAGAAAGCCTGGCTGAGGCATTTCGGTCGAGAGGTCTCGGGGGCAGTGTTGCCGGGAGCAGGGTTGCCCGGGGATGTTTGCGCGAGATGTGCGGGGGGAGACTCACGCCGGAGCATGGAGAACGGTCTTTGTCACGAGATTCAGAAAACTTAGGAATCGAAAGCTTGGGAAATCGAAGGTCTCATTTTCGAGGCGAAGTTTCGGGATCGGCAACACCGGCCAATTCCTCTGGCAACCCTGGCCGTTCGGTCTCCTCTGGCAACGGGACTCCCCTGCACAAAGCGAGCCCTAAGCCCCATTCAATATGCCTCGAATTTGTTTCTGGCTTCATCCTTGAGCGGCGGCGAATGGGGCTGGAGTTTCCAGCCTTCGATGGCCCTTTGTGCCTAGGGGTGGCTTTGGGTGGTGGCCTTGGGGTGGCTCTGCGCGGGCGAGACAAAAGGTTCTTTCGTCACAGCCGTGAAAGTGTAGTGATTAGTTGGGTAATTAAATTTCTTTTTGCGAAGTACTGGTACGTGGGAAATCGGCCTGCAGTTGCGTTTCCTGGCCATAATTGGTCGGTGCAGTCGTATATTTTTTGCCACAAAATTGCATTTAATTTGCAATTAATTTGCAAGTAATTTGCTCGCTCGATTCCCTTTGGAACTGGAGCAGACGGCGTCTGGCTCTATTGTGATCGGAAAGTGAAAGTTCCGCGTAATAACTTTCTTAAGGCATGCCCGAAAGCACCCTTTTGACCTTCACGACCTTTCTGACCTTTATGACGCGTGTAAGCAGCGCGAAGTTCACGTCAAACGCCCAATTTCCATAGCTTCAACTTATACTTTTCGACTTCCCGGGAAGAGCAGGAGCCACCCAGAATGTCTCGCCAGAGAGAGTGTATTATTAAGCCACGATCAAGCCATCGCCGCCCGATGGGAATCTCTCTGTGTCAACTCCCACGGATTCTCGGAAGTGGAGCTAATGACACAGCCTGCACGCCCACGTGCTCCAGGGCGAGGCCAGAGAAAAGCCAGCGCACGATCAGTCGGATTTTAAGCTTGCACAACCAGCTGGATTAAGTCAACTGACTAAATTAAGCAAGCATTAATTACTCGATTCAGCCGGCATTCAATGCGAGATCGAGCCAGCTAGCATCACTCATTCAACCAGCATCGCTGCCAATATTCATCCATCACCAACTGGATTAAGCTAGCATCCCTGACTGGATTAAGCTAGCAGGGCTTGGGCCGTGCAGCCATCCCGGCAATTTCCCCGTCGCGCCTGGGGGGATTCGTGCGCAGACGAACTCGAATAATCATCGGGGACTTCTCAGAACTCGTTCGAATCCGGGTACCTGTCGTGAGCCTGATTCACCCGGCCACCTTCGCCTGGCCGCCTTCGCATGGCCGCCTTCACCCGGCCGCCCTTGACTCTTCCGAGAAAAAAAAATATTCTCGGTCTGCATTCCATTCGGAAGAATCCTGCAAATAGACTTAACTAATGCCGTATATAGGTTTAACTAATGCCACATGACTTAACTAATGCCACATGACTTAACTAATGCCACATGTGGACTTTACCGATGCCCCGGGAATTAATCTCCGCGTCGGTCGACCCCAACGACCCTCAAAAAAAAGGAGAAATTTCGCCCATTGTTATGACAAGGACGGGCCAAGCCGTAAATTTTGGGAGATTTCGTCTTGACCTTGGGTAAATATTTCGGGGGAAAAAAAGAGTAAAAAAAAAGGGGGGAGGGAAGAAGGGGGAAAAAGAATGTTGGAAATGAGATGAGATGAGATGGCACAGCGGGGTGGGGGGTGGACGCGGTGCACCTTGAATGTGTACACCCTCTCCCCCCCACCCCCCAGGGGGGTGCACCGTCAAGGTCGCTGCATTTTCTTTCCTCTTTTTCCACCCAAAATGGACGGACAAGGCCGCTAGGGGGAAAAAAGAAGAAATTCCAGTCCAGATGAAATTTCCGAGTCAGATTTCCTCGAGTTCATTGACAGGTTTCGCCACAAAGGAAATTTTTTCCTTGCCTTTTTCGTCTCATTTTCCTTGTTCCACTTTTTTTTTCTTCCGAGAGGAAAAATGATTTTTTTTTTTATGTTTCCGGCTTTCGCCCTTTAGTTCAGAGTTTTCGGTGCTTTTATTTTCCCTTATTGTTTCGATATTGCCTATTGTTCTCTGAGAAATGATCCGAAGGGAGCAGGAACTGCTGAACCGCCTTTCTTTAATCAGAAAAAATATATGCAACGATTAATATAATCCGAATAGATATATTTAGCGGCCAAATTTAAATATGTGCTTCTAAGAATGAAATTTAGAAACGAAAAATAAGCGGGATTTCTCGCAGGACTGGAGATGGGCCCGTTCTACTCGCACCTGGGCCACGCCCCGACCCTGGCCCGGCTGCGCCAGGTGATGGAGGAGCGGACCGGGGTCACGGGCGCCGCGCTGCGCTTCGAGAAGCTCATCTATACGGGCAAGGAGGGGAAGACCAAGTCCGGCTGCCCCATCGCCAAATGGGTGAGGCGAGGGTTCTCTGCGGGGGATTAATCAATTGAGTAAAATTAATCGACTGAGGTAAATCAATTGGAACGGTTGGAGACGGGAGAAAGTAGAACTCTTGAGAGGAGCTTGCCTCTAAACGTAAAATTCCAAGAAAATTAGCTATAAAAAAAAAGCAATTTGGAAAATGTCAAAGTAACTAAAAAGAAAAAAGAAAAAAAATGACGAGCTGTCTTGCCGCAGATCATCCGGCGCTCCGGCCCGGAGGAGCAGTACCTCTGCGTGGTGAAGGAGCGGCCGGGCCACCAGTGCGATGCAGCCTGGATCGTGGTCAATATCGTCGCGTGGGACGGGGTGCCGCGGGACGTCGCGGATCGCCTCTACGATATGTGAGTGCTTTTTTTTCTGTCGGCGTCGAGGCCTATTTTTGTTTCCCTCTCGTCTTTAATTTGCCAACTTGCGATGTAAATCTTTTTATATTCGGCCCACTCGGGCTTTCTGTCGATGATGACAGGCAATTTTGGCCCATAGAAATAGTTTACTTTTCATTAGAGTAATTATCATATTAATTACTTTTTTGCACTTCAGATAATAGCCACCAATCGGTTCAGTGGGTCACGAAGGCGAAAGGGATCTTCAGATTCAATAAACCCTCGTAGTCTTTTGAGATCCTTGAAGTCCTTTTAGAGCCTTGAAGTCCTTTTAGAGCCTTGAAGTCAATTTCGCTCCGTCAGGTTGGTGGACAAGCTGACCAAGTACGGCGTCCCGATGGCACGTCGGTGCGCGCTGAACGAGCCTCGAACGTGCGCGTGCCAGGGCCTGGAGGAGGAGACGAGCGGGGCGTCCTTCTCCTTCGGCTGCTCCTGGTCCATGTTCTTCAACCAGTGCAAGTTCTCGAGGAGTCAGACGCCGAGGAAGTTCCGGTTGGCGGACCCGAGTCAGGAGCCGGATTTGGAGGAAGAGCTACAGGAACTAGCGACGAGGGTGTCGCCGCTGTACGGGAGGGTGGCGCCGAGGGCGTTCGCGAACATGACGAGGTACGAGGCGCGGGCCGGGGACTGCAGGCTGGGGTTGGCGCCGGGGAGGCCGTTCTCGGGGGTCACCGCCTGCGTCGACTTCTGTGCGCATGCGCATCGGGACATCCATAATATGAACAATGGGTGCACGCTGGTGAGTGGCGGTTTTTGCGATTTCTTGTGGATTCTGTCGTTTTTTAAGTGGAGAGAGGGACTTTCTGTACTCGCATCAGGATGAGGTGGAGGGTTGCTCTTAATGTGACGGAAATGTAAATGTGGAAGATATAAGTACCACTAAATGGTGTACGTTGGCCTCCAAAGACAAAACAACTAACTGTAACCCAAGTCAGACGTTATATATTTATTATGGGTTTTTGCGTTTCAACTTGACCGAAGGCATTTGGGTCGTCTTGCAGGTGGTGACGCTGACGAAGCACCGCGAGGAGCAACACCGCGAGGACGAGCAGCTGCACGTGTTGCCGCTGTACGTGCTCGACCCGACGGACGAGCACGGGAGTCCCGAGGGTCAGCTGGAGAAGATCCGCTCCGGGGCGGTGGAGTTACTGCAAAAGTGCGTCCAAAGTGTGTGCCAGCCTCCCGTCTCGTTTCCTCTTTTTGTCCTCCCGTCTGTCCCGGTCCGTGTCGGTCGGGGGGTCGGCACGGTGTTGCATGGTTTTTTGGCACCGCTGTTTGCTAGCTTTGCTTTTTTTTTTGGCCTGATCTGGCCTTTTTTTTCGGCTTTGGCACTCCGTCGTATGCTTGGAACATGGTACTTTTTGCTCGTTTATGCTGGAATTTTCAACCTAATTCACGGGAGTGTTGTCTTGAAAACATTGACCCAAAAATATGCTTTTGGAGTTTGATTCCCCAGACATATAATGACAGGTAACTGGACTCGACACCACCAAGTCAAGAGACACTGGACTAATTTTTTTTCAAGTTGAAATTAAATTTTTTCGGTGGTCAACAATTTGGAATTTAAAAGAAAAGAAGATATTTCAATTTTGGAAGAACTTGCAGTGGCTTGCTATGTGATGAATTTACACTTGAAGATTGAAGAGTGAACTCTTTTTGTGCCAGGTACCACACTGATCTCCACATCCGAAACGTCCCCCTGGGTCCCTGTCGGCAGAGGAACTCCTGCGGGAAGCGAAAGAACCCCGAAGACCCGATGGAGAGCGTGAATGCTCTGCTGTCGCCCCGGCGCGGCCGCGGACGCGGTCGGGGGCGCGGTCGTGGACGGGGCCGGGGCCGGGGCCGGGGCGTGGCGTCCCTTGGCCTTCGACGGAGCCTGTCCTGGGACGACAGCCTGGACGCGATCGAGCCGACGATCGCCGACTGGACCTGCCTCGAATCCGACGCGGTCGCGCTGAATCGCCGCTTCCTGGAGTGTGTGGATACCGACCTGGACTCTTACTGGAAAGGACCTCTACCTCAGTCACCCGTTGACCTCTCGATGGAGTCTAGTCATGAGCCGCTCAGACCTCCACCAGTGAGTCCCTCTCCCACGCCCCATCCTCCCTTTCCCTTCCCTGCCTTCGGTCGTTGCTTCCAAGTGCCTGCCAGGGTGCCAGGCTGTGGAGGACAGTCCCCAATCGAGCAGCTCTCTCATCCCTTCCCAGTGACGCCGCAGTCGGCTGACCGTCTTCCCTCCTTCGAGACGCTCAAGTCCCCCCAGCAGTCGTACGGTGCGTCTCCGCCGCAGCATCAGGGGCGTCTGGACTTGACCCGTGACCCTCACTCCCGTCCCAGTTGTCACGAAGCCATCCGCTTGGATTCGAACATGAATCCGTTGTCGTTTCACACGTACTCTCAAAACCCAACCTCGTATTCCCCCAAAACTCATCACTCGCCGTCTGCTGTAAATCCATGCATAGCATCACCCAGAACTGCTCAGGTTGTAGAAGCTTCATTACTGCAGCAGGTGAAAACATATCCAGGACTCAATTTCAACAATCCCACCATCTGTTACAGTCCACAGCAAGTCTCCATCCCACCAGGAACTCCCCCTGCCACTCCCAAGGCTCCCATCAGATCCCCAGGGATCTCCCCCCTTGGCGATCACTCCCCAATGTTTCAAGGATCCCGTCACCTGGGCCATTCCGACTGGATGCCCTCTGCTGGTACCGCCTATGAGGCAGGTACTTTCTCTGGAAGGCTCCATCACCCCGAGACGCCTCCAGGAACTCCCCAATACGTGCAAGTTCAAAGACCCTGCCTGACGTCGTTCCCTCAACCAGCATCTCTCCATCTTTCGTCCCCAAGGACCAATCAGACAAACGTGCCCAGAGCTGCTCAGGCTTCTCCCAGAAGCAATTTCGATTCGCCTCCTCCAAGAATCCATCCCATGGCATCGCCCAGAACCCCCCAGTCTTCTCCTGGAACATATCACCTTATGCCTTCACTCAACACACCTCAGCACTTGATTTCTCCTGCAAACCACCAGCAGTTCCATTCAGCCGGCACTCCACAGTGCCTGTCTTTTCCTGATACACCTTCGCCTGCTGCTCCCCGGTGCTCATATTCAAGCACCCACCCCCAGTTCTCAAGTGGGACCAACGAGCAATCGCCATCGCCTGGAACTCCACAGCAATTATCTTTGCTCCAAATTCCACAGCAAGTTTCACCTCAAACTCCACAGCAGTTATATTCACCCCAAACTCCACAACACTTGGCCTCACCCCGAACTCCCCAGCAGTTAGCTTCACCTCACACTCCACAACACTTATATGTACCAAGATTCCATCAGCAACTGTCACCTGAAACACCTCCACACGCTTCGGTTCAAAGTCGTCAGCAGTTCCATCCGCATGGAATGCCTCAGCTGCATTCCCCCAGAACCTCCTTCCCCATGCAAGATCAAAGAACCCAGCGGCTATCTGGAACCCATCAGCAATCGCCTTCGTACAGAACAGAGTTTCAGTCTCTTCTCTCACCTGCCATCACACCCTTGCAACAGCACCACTCATCTCGGTATGTGCACGCAGAATCTCCACAGCAGCAGGCCCCAAATGAAGAATCAAAAGACGGTTGCCTTGCAACGCCTCCTCCCCACCCAATCCCTTCCCCTTTCAAGATCCCTGAATCCCCTGCAAAGCCCACAATCCAGACTGTGAGCAGTGACAATGAAGAGAGTTTTTCCGACATGGAGATCGGTGGCGTGGCCCTGGCACTGAGCCACGGCTCCGTGCTGATCGAGTGCGCCAAGCACGAGCTGCACGCCACGACGGCCCTCAAGAACCCCAACCGCCACCACCCGACTCGTATCAGCCTCGTCTTCTACCAGCACAAGCAGTTGAACAACCCACAACATGGCTGGTTCGAGTGGGAGCGCCGGTTGGATGCCAAGCGCCGTATTGACCGGGACCTCATCCTGGACGGGAAGTTGGAGGCCTCGCCTCGAAAGGTGCAGCAGCTGCTCAAGGCAGGCCTCCTGGTCAAACAAGATGATGTTGCCTCTGTGCCTCACAGTGTGGTACCTGCTTTCCCCTCGTGGCCCGTCTACTGATCAAGCAATAGTCCTCCCATGGTTTTTTAAAAGTTTTTTCGTTCTCCTTCGGCCGTCTTTCACGCCGTTCCTGTCCAACATATCTATTTTGTATGCGGGGCATTTTTTATTATTCACCCCGAGAGATTTCATGCCAATCACGATGCCAATGATCTCAGAGCATTCATGAGAGAATGCGAGTCGCTTTTGGCAAAGAAACACAAAACTCGAATGCTCAAGTGAGACGTATGAGAGCTTTTTTTGTTTGTGCGTAGTATGTTTTTTTAATGAGAGAAACAAGTGTTCAAAGCCAGTTCTCGTGCCTTCTTGCATCCATCGTAGGACAGAAAACCAAATTTTTTTGCAGAAGCGTAGCATCTAGTCCCTTGTTGCAAAAAAAAAAGCAAAACTTTGCAAAGTTGTTACCATGCTTCTTGGCATGACTCAAGTTCTTCCTTGTTGAGGCAGAGATTTGCCCAGGGATTGCAAAAATCGACAAAAAATGAACACAAGAATCGTGTAGTCGACAGAGAAGATCTTTTCTTCACAAACTTTCAGGGAGTAATTTGATCTCATGCATTTTTTTTGTAATGCGGTAATTTGTATTGTTTCGCACCTTCTCCTTTTTTTCCCCTCTCTTTTATCCTGCATCGGCACAGAGTTAGGGTGAGACGAATTGTGTTTGGGGGAAGTGAACTTTGATGAAAATACGAAACGAGAGAGAGAGAGAGAGTCAGACGGTATCGATCTTGAAAATTAGTGATATTTATTGAATTTTCTTGGAGTTTGCCCCATCACCGGATTTGCACATCTGTACAGGAACCGGATAGGAAGAAGAAAAATTCAATGGATATTCTATTCCTCTCCTCTATTTCCACTCTGTCTTGGAGTTGTACATACTATCAGGTGGAACAGGACCAGGTGGATTGATGTTCTCGGTGTTGCGACAGGTGGAACAGGACCAGGTGGATCAATGTTCTCGGTGTTGCAATAAAAAATATGCAAAGAATGGCAGCAAGATCCTGGATGATAATGAGAAATGGTCACTTTTTGGCTTTTCTGATTCATACAAGATGACAGTTTTTTCTTTCTGGCCCTTGTCTATTCCTGATTCCCCCCTTGTTTTTCCCCAGATGACATCTGACTGTTGTTTTGTGAAGATTGTACAGTGCTGAAAAAAAAATGAAATCTCTTTTTCCCATGAACACTGTTGATATAATTCTTTTTCATATTGAAGGATTGATTTTGCTCAGTGGAATGAAGAATGGAAGCCCATGAAAACACAAAAATTCAGCTAAAATGCAGTTTATTTCTTGCAGTCAATTGCCTGCAGTGGTAATGACAGGAATGATGATACGTGAATGAATTGTATAATCCTGAAAGGTATTTCCAGTTTTCCACATCAGGAATGCAGTTATGATTTGTTAGATGTGACTAGAGTCAAACTGCCAAGGAATGTGCAGGATAAATTCAGTTTCCAGGGAATGCAGAATCTGAAATTCTCATGGTGACTAGGAGAAAGAGAAAATAACTTAATATATAGTCTTGGACAGTTTCACAATTTTTTCTTGCTATTATGTGAGTAGGGGTCATGAGGATTAGAAACTGGTTCACATCAGGAAATGTCAATTTGGCACAGAGTGCAACCTCATGCCAAGAGTATAAAGAAACATAAGTTATGGAATACATTTCCAATTCCATGGCCCAATTCACAGAGAAAAGCAAAAAAAAATTGCTATAAGTTATGTCCTTGACTCTAATTTTATAACATCCAATAAAACACATCAGAATATTTCTCTGTTGAAAGACCACATCAGTTGCTTCAAGCTCGGTGGTTCCATCTCCCATCTGTTTGTCTGGAAACTGGCTCACGAGGGGATCTTGGTTGCCTGAGGTTGCCCGACTCCCGAACTAGTACTGTAATGACAATTGTGAATTCCTCTCAAAAATCCAATTCACTCATAATAAAGACAATACCTGCAATTGAGACTTACTTGAATCTCAAACAGCTGGCAGGCACAAAAAAAGGAATCATGTTCATCTCATTTGACAATACCTAACAATTAGGAACTCATAAAAAATGTCGTTGATGGGGAGGGTGGGGCACCATGGGTTGGTACATTGAGTGGTTCCCAAGATCCTTGCAAAGAAGGAGGTTCAGTTGGATCAGTCATATGAATAAGCAGTCACACCACAGGAAGAAAAGTTCTTGGGTGGCTAATACACCTCAGTTATCAGTGAAAAGAATCCCTAGTTCCCCTACCACCTTCCTATCAGATTCACCTCTGTCTACAATTCATTTCATGCCTAAGAATATCACTTCTGCTGGTGTTTAATCCTTCAGAGTTTTGCACTGATTATTGTGCATTATGAGGTTGGAAAAAGACTGCAAATTAAATGATTTCCGTTAACAACTCTCATAAAACATCTGGCACACTTTGAGTTATGACCCTTTTGTGCCCCAACACAAGCCATTATAATGAAATCAGGATTGCAACCAATGTAAGTTTTGATGGTCGCTCATTTGCATAGGCATTGAACAAATCGATCTCCTGAATCCAATCCCAGAAAGAATCAAGGCTGTCCTTTGAAAGAAACAAGAAGCAAAAATCAAGATGTCACTATAAAAGAAAAAAATTATCAGGTACAGAGTAACACCTACACAATCTGCACTTTGGGTGGAAACTACTCATTTTTCAACTACCCTTTCCAGCAACTCAGCTGGAAGCTGAGTTGCTGGAAATAGCAAACAGAATAGCAAACAACATGAAGAGAAACAGTGGAAGAGCTCCATCCAGCCTGACCCATATGCCCCTTGGTGCCCCACTCTCCCCAACCAACTTTTTGCTACTGATGCATTTCCATCATTCCACCATTTGCTGACTGCAACAGTTGGGTGACTGCAGCCAAACTAATCACTGTCACCTTTGAGAAAGCAGCCATAGCTCAAAGCTTTTGTAATTGCACCTAAGGCAACTGGAAGCATTTGCCCATTGAGATCTCATCCAGTAATTTATTTAATTTGGTAATAGTGTACTAAAAACAGCCTTGAAGCAAGTCCATTCATACCGGTACCTCAATCATAGGTTTCCATGATTTAGGTACAATGTCATCTAAATTGAAAGCTTTGCTCAGGGATGTGTTCCAAATTAGTACTTTCCATACTTTCAGTACTCCAACGGTGCTGGAGATCCTAGTAATACAGCTGCAGGGTGAAACAGATCCTTCAGTACTTCACTACATTAAATCAATTCAGTCTTTTCACTTATCTGATGTGCAGGAATAAGGAAGATAGACCTTGGAATAAGGAAGTAGAGGAAGCAGTTTATCATTTTCGTTCAGCACTTTTGATTTTTGCTGACATTAATAGATTTTGCATGTGCAGTATTACCATTCCCCTGCCAAGTTCGAGCTAAAGAGCAAAAAATAAATTAATTAAATGGGTTCCCTGTCAAGTGGACTTGCACCAAGAGTCCCCTTCTTCCTTGCTTTGTCTTGTCATCTTGTCACCCGGTAGAATGGACATGAACAGACATGCTTTCACCAAAGAAGAAAATACAAGAAAATACTAACCCTGTCTCAGTTAAGAAAATCCTTCATGCCTGGGCCGAGTGGTGGGGGTTGGGGAAGGAGAGGGGAAAAAATTAGGTTTTTCTTAAATGAGACAGGGTTAATTTGAGCTCATTTTCTTCATAACTGTTGTCCATCATGGTTAGGGGCTAAGTGAGCAGTTTCCATGGCTTCTCTTGCCATTTGGAAAAGGAATGAATGCAGAAACGCCAATCTTGCATCAATTATCACAAGATAGTCAATATGATCATGTAACATCGGGGAATGCCGACTCGACAGCACTGGGTACTTTCCCTAGGTCTCTGATGTTCTAAGGCTGCGAAGTTCAAAATGCTCAATTTTTACATTTGAGCAGCATGGTTTGAGGGTCTAGACAATACAAACCAAACCTAGCATCACAGTCCATGACTGCACAGTTGCTTATGGTGGAATGAAACATGCACATTCGTGCCACACGTGAATTTCTGTCACATTCTGATGACAAGTTTGTTCATATTAGTATAAACCAAATTACCTTATGTATCCGGAAGCTGCATGACAAAACCAACAGAAAGAAGACGGCACATCATCACATTGACCTCTTTCCGGAGACACTTCACACAAAATCCCATCTATAACACCAGGGCGTGCACTTACGTGACATAGGGGCCCGCATTCAGGAGTCGATCGGTGGAAACGGCCCTCAAGCGCTCGGTCTGGGTGGCTGCATTCGCTCGGGAGCGGTCGAAACGTGCGGCCTCGAACCGACAGGAGGTGGGGGGTTCGCCCCCACCCCCCTGCGACGCGTACTTGGTCATCTGGCTCTGGAGGAGCCGGATCGTCTTGTCCCGCTCTTCCAGCTGCTGCCTCTGGAACAGGATCTGTGGCAGGAAGAGCAAATTAAATCAAAGTACACATGACTGGGCAATACCACAAGGCAATTCAAGTGTTCAGGACTACTTTCGGTTTCGTGATGCCTAACATCTGGGTAGCAAATCTGGTAAAACGAAGGAACTTGAATGTTCAAATTTCATTTCATTTTCTAATTTAATATACCCAGTTTTTCAAACTGAGAGCCTCACACGATGCTCTGCAAGAGAATCCTTTTGCTGGAATTTCCTGTTCAGTCTCGTACTAGACAGTAAGACTGAAAACAGCACCAGAATCAAGGGTATATATTAAAAAAATTATTTAAGGTTGATAATGCAATAATCTAATTATGCATCATTTTAGAAACATAACTGTCAAGTCTCAAGATCTCTCCCTTATCTTCAAAGACAGGGCCATTCGTTACGTGCACCACCGCAGAACTTAAAAATTGGCAGCCTTCACTGGGAATCGACAATTTCAAATGCCAAAGAGCAGACCATTTATGAGATTCTTTTCGAATAGTCTCTTTAATTTCATGAGCCAGTGGTTCCACTTGTGCTTCAGATCATTCCGTACGGCTGCAGTCAAGCTGGGTCAGAGATTAGATTCAGACAGCAAGACCGCTCAACTACACTCTCATGCCTTGCCTCTGTCTCCCTTTGAGTCTTGGAATCGGAAATCAGCAGTCCCATTGTATTCACTAGAGACAAACCAGCAGACTAATTTTCGTGCATTGTCTAGCCGTGCCTCGTTCCTCGTTCTGTATGGATCATTTCAGGAAGCATGCTCGCAAGGACTCTTGTGCAGTTGTCTTGCTGAAGTCCAGGCAAATCTAATTTTGTCTCACAGACCAAAGACTGTATTTACTCTGGAAATTACAATACTCGAGTGGTATTCTTAAACTAGGTTCCTTCTGAGATGGTGACACCCAGATTCTTGACCAATTCAAGATGGCTCCAAGGCCAAAAGGCCACACACACAGTCTGTGCCACACATAGAGCATATGAGCAGGAACTCTTCCACTGGCATACCCCACTGCACATCCATTGCACATCCCCCCTTTGAAACCGGCCTGAAATCAAGCAGCTGCTTCTTGAATAAGCGATAACGAGTATCGAGATCTCGCTGCATCACCATGACCATCGATTCTCCGATATATACCATAATTAAAAATACTTATAAAAAAAACATCGACAAACGAGCACCTCGATGAGGATGAACTGGAAGTTCCTCAAGACTCATGGAACCCTCAGCTTTCGAGGGTTTCAACCAACTTCCCACCAACATCGAAGTCTAAGGTAGAATTGGAAAGGAGTTACACAACATTGGGTGAGTTTCGCATGACTGAGTGGCCCTCGTAACACCCACACCATCTGCCGGTTATCAGACCATGACCGGCAACGTGGGGGTGGACTGCAGGTGCCGATGCGACGGTGAAAGTCGGGGGAAACGGGCCGAAATCCGATGCGACCTCGGCCTTTTCCCGGTCTGATTGCATTCGAGGGACCTGGTTTCGCTGCCTAGCGGCTTTCAGAGTCGGCTTAGCGAGTGCTTGGCATGGAATGGGCATCGATGGGGATGCGGAAAACCATCGTGAAACTCCCAAAAAATAATTCAAAATGGATCAAAATCAATCTGTCAATTCCTTCATGGGATACTAGAATTGATAACTTTTGGCATTTTGCAAATTACAACAGTGCGAGTCCAAGAACACGACTGCATATTATTTTGCGCTCTCTCGAGCAGATTCCTTCACATCTGATACCCAAATGTCACATTCATCAACTAAAACATCTTGACCACAAAAAAAAGAAGAGAGACGACTGGAAACCTGTCGCTGAGCATCCAGGAGCTGAGACCGCAGCTTCGCCGTTTCATCGTTGGTGCCGAGCGTAGCACTGCCGCAAGTACCGGGCGCAGTACCCTCACAAGTACCGAGCGCCTGCTCCTCCTCCGACGGCCCCTGCTCCGCCAGGGTGCTCAACTGCGAGAAGCCTCGCGAGCTCTGCAAGAAAACCTTCATGACGCACTTCATCCTTTACAAAGGTCAACTGGGTCTTCGAAGGAAAGGACCCTCACCTTCGAGTCAAAGGGATTCAGCGTCTCGGCCTGGAACAGATTTTCATGCAAGACAAATCCCACATCAAATTCACATAAAATGAGATAAAATTCAACTTTTTTGCCAATTCCAATTCGTGTTTGCTTCTTTGCGAATTTCTCCAAAAGTACATAAGTCCCAGTCCCAGTAGTAGAGCATGAATTTTATCATTATATTCTATTGATATATTTTATTTATATATTCCATTTAATATGCTTCTCAGTTTTGACCATTTGATACCAAAGTTATTTGTTAACTTCTCCCTTTCAGTCCAGGAATCTCTTTTGGAATATTTATTTGCGGTCATTTTGGGTGGTTTGGCTTTTACATCATTTACACTTTTTAACTCGGAACCGAAAGGGTTGAAATTAATTGGAAATAATTAGTCCGAAGCAAGCCATAAAACCAAGAGAAGGCAGAGAAAAAGCCCCAAACCCGATGGACATTTGGTTGCCAGAAGGCACGCTGCAGCCATGAACAGCAAAAGAGAAAGGCATGAAACTAATGAGTAAAGTACTGGGAAAGCAGATCTGCCACCAGTTAACATGTGAGACTGGATCATTTCTCTCAGAGCTGATGTGATCCCAAGCAACAGCTTGCAATCTACAACCCCCCCCCCCCCCCCCCCCCCCCCCCCCCGGCCCCGCCCCCCAAGGAAAGAGTGCCAGACCTGCTGCAGCACGCTTTGGAGGTTGTAGAGCATGAGCTTGAGGTGCGTGGTCTCCAGCCGCATCATGCGGTACGTCGCCCCGTCCATCACCACCTGGTCCCTCCCGTCCCACGACTGCCAACCGAGACCCGTCCACTCACGACACCCAGCCGACAAGAAACGTCAACACATCTCGAGAAATAAACCTCACCGATCGCGGGGACTTGAGCAGCATCTTGAAGGACGTGGGCGAGTGCAGGATCGTTCCTCCCTCATCCCTGTGAAAAAAAAAAACGACAAAAAAAATCACATCATTATCACGGCCAGTCCGGCGAATAATGACATCATTTCCTCTCCCCCTCTCACTCATTCATTCACCTCACGGGACAGATCCCCCTCACGAGAGATACATCCCGGAAATACGAAACCTAGCGGAATCACGGCCTTATCTCTCTCCCTATCGTCAACACCAAGAAATACAGGAAATCCACTCCGTAACGGTTTCCCCACAACGAAAGATTGCCATCGACTTCCCCCCCCCCCCCCCCCTTACCCCCAAAAAAAACAACAACAAAACCCAGGAATCGTCTCGCATTGGTCACGGATCGCCGGACCCCTCGAACCACGACCCACGAAATGCAACGATCCCCCATCTCAGTAAAACCCTCCACCGCACAGATAGAAAAGCGAAACGGGATCCCGTCGGCGGGAATCCACGGCCCACCGAGTGCACGACCCACCGAGTGAAAGCTCGGGCAAGGATCCGGCGACGGACCCGAGGATCTTTCGGCTGGAACCAAGGAGAAAGGGGATCAACCTCTCTGCAGTTATTTCCTTTCGGCTTTAATTTTTATATTATCTGAAAACAAAAAAAGAGGCCGATTGTCCCATCATCACGCCGAAACACATCGCCGAAGGCGTCGAACTGTCAGGTGATATCTAAGAGAAGAAAAATCGAAAGCGACGAAAATTCGCACGGTATACATGATAACATAGGCCTTTTGATCGCCTGTGGCGAAATTCGATGCAGTAAGAAAAGGAACTCACTATCTGTTGAAATAGGAAGGACTGAAAGGAAACCGGTCATCAGCGAAAAACAAATCGTTTCTCAGGCTCCAGTGAGTGAATAATCATGTTATCGTCTTCTTGAAAGCGAGGAAATGCAGCAAATGTGTTATGAATTAGTTTTTCGCTCGCATAATCCCAGCAGCGACTACCTTCAACGAACGAAGCGAGGGTTCGAGTCCATCAGACCCGGGATCGCAGACGCGATAGGCCGAACGTTCCTCGTCCGCACCGAAATCGTTCATGAAACTCCAGACCTCTAATAGGTCTAACGTTGCAATGCAACGTTGTACACGTACTCTCTTAAAAGAGCCATGAGTGACTGAATAGGCCTACGATTGGCCTAACGTTACACGTCCTCGATGAGAAGTCTGGAAGATCAGTGATTCATCCTCAAAGACCTAATTAGCCCACTACGTCTAGGATTGAGTTTCTTCTGAACAGAAAAAGGCAGGCCTAGGCCTGACCCGAGAACAGACCGTCGGTTAGGCCTAGGCCCAAAGTTATTGAGTTCCGTAGAAATGGGGGGGGGGAGAGATGTTTAGGGTGAGGTTGGGGTTGGGGTTGGAAGAAAGGGAAAGTCTTTGAAAATGGATTACACATTTCTGCCTAATACTATTATTGTTACCTTTATAGTACTCATTTGACTAATTATACCCTTGTACTGCCTGACAGACGGGCTGTTTTAATAACTTCCATGTTCGTGCCTCACAGGGTGCAATGTAAGAAATAAGCATTTCAGAATTAGCATTTCGGTGGGTGGGGAGCTCCAGGACTAGGGGGATTAACTGTATCATGCCCCTGATGAATTAGTGGGTCATTGAATTGGTTGACAGGTTCTGGAGGGGTAAAGAAGAGAAAAGAACGCGACCATTTGATCGAGGGCATGTCGACCGTGAAAATGACAAACGGTGGGGAACTAATTTGGAATCTAGATTAAGAAGGATTTCACAAGCGAGTTATCGCGAATATTGAACGCAACCAAAGACTGGGACACGGGATGCGCCTGCGCGAATTGCCCCTGCGCTTGCGCGACTGGCCCATACACCTGCGTTATGGCTTGCGCGACTGGCCTCTGCGCCTGCGCTATGGGCTTGCGCTTGCGTATTGAGTCTGTGTCTAGCAGAGACTCTCCTATGTGGGGTTCCTAAGTCTGGACCCTTTTCAACGCATGCGCGTACGTCCTTGTGAATCCACATCTGGGTGGACGAGAGGCAACGGCGTACGCAGGCGCATGTTCAGAGCGCAGGCGCAAACCATGGCCCATTATTTGGCAGCAATCAATATTTGCGATTACTGTCACCTCAAGTTCAAAAGTTCATGGTGCTCAAAGAATGCAAGCCTTTTTGCACATTCGTGTACTTTGCATGCTGGATTCCGTCTAGACGCCAGAGGGAATGAACTTTGCCCCTCCCCATTATTTTCTATGCCATGTATACACTTGGATAACCAAGTAGCACAAAAGTAGTGGGCCATAAACGGCCCAGGCACTATATTGCGGGTTTCTGCCGGGTACGGGAACGTGGTGAAAAGTGGGAAATGCAGTTGCACTAAAGTGACAGTTGAAACAAAGTATCAAATAACTTCGGACGACCCAAATAGGACTTATTAACCAATATAAATCCGTTGGACACACACTCAAGGACATCGATTGTAAATCTACTTTGGAATCCAATATCGCCCAAGAATAATCCTTGCACGTCTTTTGGATGTCCGTTTTTTCATATCCATTGGAGATTCCCTGCGGGAAACCCGTTAGATAAGCATGGAAGGGTGCAAATATTGTTATCCCCTAGGTAGCAATGAAAGGAAATTTGTACGCATAGGAATATTCACGACAAAGAAAAGGTCAGCACTTTTCGCCGATTACCCATCACACAGTTCAGAAACGGTAGGCTCATTCCCCCACGTCCCTAGAGGGATCTGAAATAAAATAGTTATGATGGATGGAAAATAGAGAAATCTTGATAAGAGCTCTCTCAACTCTGTATATTCAGTGCTGAATATACATCTTATAGGTCTAAGACCATTCCCATCTCTTTCTCTCAACTTTCGTTGTGCTCATCTCCACAGGCGACACAAATGAAAAGCTAAGGGATGCCACTAGACTTACCTTACGAGCGGAACCCTAATCTCTTCGTGCATTGTACAAGAATTGCCTAGAGTCTCATTGAGTTAGGTTACATCTCTCAAAAACCGTATTACTTTGAATGATTTCCTTCATTCTGCTTGTACGTGGAAAAACATCGAGTACAGGATGAAAGCTCCTGCAGAACCATCCATTAGTAATTGGAGAATCGAGACACACTTGCGAGTTCAGCGCAACCTCGCCTATATCGTGGAAAATTTATTATTATTGAATGAACTGCTTGATGTCAGGCCATATCGAAGGCTTCAACATGCATGGCCGTCTATGCAAGGGCATCCAAAGATAGACCGTGAGAGGATGCTCTTCGAAGTTCCTTTGTTGAACGTCCAATGGATGTCCAGAATTTGGAGCAATCAAAACCAGTTCAAATTATGCGTTCCCTGAACGCTCATCGTCTTCAGGTTAATGAGAGATTGATGACGGTTAAGGACGGATTGTTTTTCTTCGCACAGTGGCCTAGATGTACCCAATTCCGTTGAGCTTTTCCATCTTTTGGGAAGCGAGAGTATCGGATCCCATTTGAGATGTCACAATGGCTTTGCAGCTCGCAACAGCAAATGCGCAACAGCACAACAGCACCATATTTCGCGTTGATTGCAAGAAAAAACATGTGAAGTCTCGAAAAAGGGGTACAGGAAATGTGAAGGAGAGAGAAGCTAAGGGGGGCGCCCAGCGGACCCCCGCGCGATGCTTGAACCGCGTGACATCAGCAGCAGACAACATATAGGGGCGGGGCTGCGCGTGAGCAGACCTGGGGCCTGTTCCGCGCCTGTGCTAAACTTAAATCTAAATCCAAAAGCAGTCTAAAAGCAAAAAGTCCATTCTTCGTCTTGACCCTTTAGACTAAGATTTAAATTTAATTTAGATTTAGATTTAAGTTTAGCACAGGCGAGGAACGGGCCCCCTGGTCTAGTCTACGATCTTGCATCAGACCGACGATCAGTTTCTTGGACATTCTTCGCAAATACACCAGTTTTACCATTCAGACCCCTCACTTTGAAGATCGCCCTCGCGGCACCGGCAGCCACCAATCTTGCCGGACCTCCCCGGAACGCGCATGCGCCGCCTTTAGCGACTGCACCGGGTCTGCGTTCCTCCCGGTCGAATTCATGAAACATTTCCGGACTTAGGAATATTTGATTTAAAGAGCTTTATCTCGTCTAACGCCATTCTCTTCCCGATGGAGGCGACGCTGGTCCCGTTCCTGGCGTCACTTCCGGACCGCTAAGACGCAAGCAATACGTTATTCTCGAACTGTAAATTCCGATCTCTTCATCGATATTTTCATTCGAATCATGTACGGTCCATTCACATTAGTACATGGAGTTTTCATTCGCACATCTCTCGTGCATTCGACTTCACCTTGCTTCACCTTGCACTGCTTCACAGTGGGACGGGATTTTCGCAAGGAAAAATCAAAAGCAACAATGAAAATATGGCTCAGATGGCAGCGTTCAAACGTTACTAGTTGTTATTTGATCATAACAAAATAAAATTATCCTTGTGAATAAATTTTTGTTTCACATACACGCAGCTTAGGATTATATTAATCATACACCAAAAAAAAAAACAAACTGAACCGGATTCAGACTGACCTCGGATAAGTAGCGAGGAGATGCTGGAGCTCCTCTCGAGCGAGGGGAATCGGAGGAGTGGAAGGCGACGGGGAAGGAGGCAGGGAAAGGGGACGGCGGAGGCGGTGGAGGCCCGCCCTCTGTCCGCCGGACGAGTGGGGCGGGCTCTCCGACAGGGAGAGGGAGAGCGAGCGGAGCTTCCTCTTCTCCGTCCAGCGGTGCGCGGTGTCGCCTTCCGGAAACGGCGACGGCCAGTCCGATCTAGACGATAAAACGAAGGGGGAGATCTCCCTGGAGATTTCACAATTTCTCAACGTTGGCGTATATTTTTTTGCTGGCTGCCGATTGTTAATTAGCCACTTCCGGTTCACGAGGAACGCCATATGGGAAACTGCAAAACCGAGCTTCTAATTTCCCAACTCTACCATGAAATTTCGTTCTGCTTCAGTTAGCACCTTAGCTTTCTAATTTTTTTTTTTTGCAGCATCTACATCCCTGCGTTCCTGAGGTTCTCCATCCTCATCTGACGATTCCCCATCGCACCCGACCCAACTGACATTCTCAAGCGCAAAATTAGAATACCATCCTATCACGACGCGGCAAGAGGAGGCTGAGAGGCATTCGCAAAGTAGACAACCATCCAGTCATTCATGCCACCATGACACTCTCACTGGAACAAATTCTTTACCTTGGCATATTTCCAATGAAAACCATTACTAGCTATTTTGGTTCTTCAGCTATGATTGCTTTAATCCCATAACCTAATTGCCACCTTCAACACACTCGATTTCATCACACAACTTCCAATAAATTAAATAAGTTTCAATTTTTTTGTTAAGTCAGGTTGGTGGCATGTATCAGATGCAACATACCCCATTAATTTCACATTTTAAAATCAAAGTAGCAAAGGGCAATACACATGATCATGTGCATAGCTTTTCGTGATGCACATGAAAATATTTAAACACCCAAGAGACTCGACTGATCCACGAAAACCATGCAGGAGTGGTGGAACAAGAGTGGAAAGCTCCCAAAAGATGCAAACCCAAGACCAGCAGCACATTTTGATACACCCTGTAGATTGCAAGCTGTTGCTTGGGATCACATCAGCTCTGAGAGAAATGATCCAGTCTCACATGTTAACTGGTGGCAGATCTGCTTTCCCAGTACTTTACTCATTAGTTTCATGCCTTTCTCTTTTGGTGGACAATATTATTATTATTAAATTATTGTGCAAGTTCCCATGCTGAGGAAAATGTCTGCTGTATCATTAAAGCTGAATCACAAAACAATTATAGCACAAAAGGTTTTTTCCATTTCAGGTCACCTCTTTCACTCATTTAGTCAATATCATAGTTCTTCATTTTTATTGTGAACTGTGGATGATGATGGATTAGGAGGGAAGTTCTGGACATGGAAAACGGCTATAAAATACTGATGCAAAAAAAACTCAATTTAAATTTAAAATAATTATGCAATACTTTAATCAGATATTTTTGCTGCCATTGCTAACAAACTATGCCAAATTTCGTCATTCAACCCCTCAAAGATTTTAAAGATTTACAGAAAATCTATCCATCATTAAAAAGGATGAAATTATATTTCTATTTTCACTTAGATGAAGTGTAGGATGAAAAGTCACACCTTGTTTCTGCATTCTTAATACCCACATGTTAAAAAAGTTTTTGCAATAGAATGAGACAAATTAATTTCATGTTCACAAGCACTAACACAGACTGCACCAGGAATGACACTTACCGAGAATATAAAATGGTTGGCAGGGTCTCTGCTTCTGAATGTCCTGATATCACGCTCAATGTCTCCTCGTCAAACTTTTGGGTGGAGGCAAGGCTCAAGGTTTCAGCATCTGGATCAGCAGCAGAAAGCAATTTTAGAAAAGGAATCCAATCAAATGGGGCCTTTAAAGGAGCAGAGAGGGGACTGACCTGAGGCCACTTGGAGCTCTGGCTGATCGGCAATCTCGTCGTCAATGAGGAATTCTGCGTCACTCTTATCTGTTCCTTCACTTTCAGTCGAGATTGACTTTTCAGGGGACATGAGGGCTCGGCTCCTTAGGACACGAGGTGCTTCATCCAAGGGCAGAGTTTTGCTGGTCTCATCTTCATCACCTTCCAGAAGGGGCCAGATTCCATTTACAACTTTCTCATCTTTCTCCTTGTGGGATATAATATCTTCAGTAACTCTAACTCTTTCATTGGTACGTTCTGTAAGTAACTTTGTGTCACAACTCTTTTCAATCACATGGTCACCTGGTACCTCAGTGTGACTAGGATCAGCACCATCAGGTTGAGTTTCTTTGGCTTCTTCATTTCTTAATGACTGCTGGTTCATTTCTGGACAAAAATTTTTGGTAGAGGCAATCAGCATCCTACCAGTTGGAGGCTGATCAATTCGACTGCACTCCATGCACATTGGAGGAGAAGTAGACTGAGTAGTGTTCTCCATCTTGTTTGGTGTCGGAGGCCTTGGCAATGGAATGATCGCCTTCTCACTAGCTTCTAACTTTTTGGCTTCAAACTTTGCACTGCGGAACTGAACAAACCCCGAACGATACTTGGTCGGTTTTGGAAACTGGTAATCGGTACTCTTGATTTCGGCACCCTGAAATATGTTGGTATTAGGCTTAAATGAGAGGTTGCCGGATGATGTCGGAAGTCGACTGCCATATGTGGGTGGCTGAAGTGATGACAGACGAAGTCCCACTTTGCTTGGTCCTACAATAGATGGAAGGCTGGATGGTTTCCATCCACTTGGAGCTGGTTTATTCTCTTCAGTAGGTGGAAATGGAAAACACAATGGCTTCAGCCTTTTCTGTGGCAGTCGTGACAATACTGGCACCACGACCCCAGAATCTTTCCCTGATGAAGACTCTTTTGACCCACCAGCATCAACGTCCGATTCAAAACTCGCAGCCGATGATCCTATCACAGACGAGCGCAGCGACGATCCGTCACTTTCACCGGCTGTACTGGTAGTCGAAGATGCACTGGTAGGGAGAAGATGGTCAGCAGCCTTGAGAACAGGTCTCTTCGGTATTGGCAGTCCCATCTTTGATGCGCTCCAGAAAAACTTTTCCCTCTCATTGTTAATTTCAGGTTTCTTGGACACATCAGGTTGAGAGGAGGAATTCGCATTTTGCAAATCTTCGAAAGAATTTGCATTCATGTCTCCCAAACTGTTGTGATAGAAGCGAAGTCTTGAACCGACACCTGTTGAATTCGGCGGACAGCTTGGAATCCCATTGAGGGGCTTTGGAACAACCCGGCTCCCAAAGCGGGGGTTCGGTCGACGCTCGACTGTGCTCACTCCTCTTGATGTCACCATAGAATTTGATGGAATCTTGGAAGAGGGCTTTGTTCCTTTTGGCTGTACAGGTACTGAAATTACCTCAGGGGGTTTTAAACCAAGTTTCTGGAATGGTGAGGGTGGCTTAAGTCTGCTAGTTGTGCCTCCTCTACCTGATGCAACCGGCAGTCCTACATTACTTGCAGGTATTCCTGGAATGCGGCTGTAGGGAATCATACGGCCAGCTCTATGTTCCTGAAATAGAAAACGAGGTAACAATATTGCATAATGACTAAATGTCTCCTACCATCCATTTTAGTGTTCCAGTCAGGGCCACCCAGAGGTTTTCAGGGACCTGGGGCAAAACTAAACTGGAGACCCCTTGAGGCCCCACTTGGGACTCCTTGATAAGAGGAGCCTGGGGCAGATTGCCCCAATTGCCTCCCCTCTGGGCAGCCCTGGTTCCAGTTAAGGGTAACAGTGAAGTGGTACTTCTAACTGAAGGACCAATAAAACCTAGTAATAACTTCGCCTATAGACATGGCCAGAGCACCAGGTCATCAGGCATTAGAGCTCCCGCCCGACCTACGCAATCGGTTAGACAACACTCATGTTGATACAGATGACCCAATTCCTGACCTACCTGACCTGACTGGGCAGCTATCCCCTCAAGCGTCTGTACTTCCTGGGTAGAGGCCATCAGCTTCACGTTCACTTCAGGCCTTTCCTCTGCTGGAATATCGGTGAAGGCTTTCTTCCCTTTGCACGAGTAGCAATTGCCCATGTGTCAAAGTATTCCTTGCCATCGCAACATCTAGAAAGCGCAAGTCGGCACGTTTCTCTCTGCCAAAATCATTAGGCCTAGACCTAACCGCACCACAGCAGGAGAAGCGCAAACGAATCAAATCCCACACTCAAATGCTGGTTTTGTCGCTCATATGTCGAATTTCACACTGAAACGTCGAATTTGGTGCAGCGGAGATCAAGCCTATGCAGGCTGCCATGTTGACACTATTGACCGACATGAGAGACATCTGACGGGGACGAATAAAGGAGAAGCTTCCTAACTTTGACGTCAGGTTGCAGGTAAGTCATGGTTCCACAGATCTAAATTTTTCTTTAGGGAAGAAAATTTTCAAGAGACAGGAAGTTGTTCCTGACCGGACAACCGCTCCCTTGCAATTCAAACATATTTCTTTTGAATTTTGGTTATCACTCATTTCGACGGAAACGAGAAAAAAAAAATTAATCGGACAGAAATGCTCTTTCAGGAATTATTACTCCTCACTTACGAAGTACTTGTGTACTGTATGCACTTACATTTCGCAGCCTCATGTCGCTAAAGAAGTTTCTTGCG